AGACGTAGCTAGTCCTGAAGATATTCATAAAGCACCGGAGAAAGTTCCCCACGAGAAAGACACCTTGGAAGACGAGTCCTGGTCGGAAACGCATAAAACTGTTAAAGAAACACGAACGACTGAAACAGTTATTGTGGAGAAAACCGTTACAAAGTTTGCTTCTGAGAAAAAAGACGAACCTGTTTCACCGCGAAGCCCAAAGAAAGAAGGACCTATTTCACCAAAGGCTGTTCGTTTTGCCAGTTCAATTGAACCCAAAGACTCCGGCGAAAGTTCCTCTGAACCGAGTCCACGATCATCGTCCGGAGACAAACCGGAAGTTCCTGGTCGAAAGAGACGAAGCAGACGTGGAAATAGGTTTGATAATCTCAAGAGGTCTGGGCCATTGGTACCGGAATCAGTGGTTAGAGACGAATCTCCGGTGTCTGATATTCCGAGGGTCGGATCCCCGATAGTACCTCAGCGTGAACAACCTGTATCAAGTACACCAGATTCAGTAATTCTTGCTTTCACCCCCCGGGAGAGAACTGGTCAAATGAAACCAGAGATGTATTTATTAGACAGCGATGATGAAAATCAGGGGGGAGATTTGAACAAACGAGATGAAGGAGTGGTTGCTGAGTTGTGTGTGCCAGAAGAGAGGGACGAAATCCCCGACGAGAGTATTCCGGGAGAGGACGAAAGCCCGGCCAGAGATGAATTATCACCCGAGTTGATCGATGAACTGCTCGAAAAGGAGATCCGAGGTTTGGCGGAGGATGATGAAGGCCTGGAAACAAGTGAAGGAGAACCGGAAATAGTGGAAACTATTTCTAAAGAAGACAAACAGGTAAGCCAAAGATTTTTTCAAGGGTAGTGGACCTAATTAGTTAACACGCGCGCGCCGTTGCAACCCAATTCATTCACATATTAATTTGAATACTTTGGTTACTTTTGTTCCATTCTATGCTTACATTATCAAAACAGCAGGCATGTGAATTATTATATATCATATTATTATTATTATAATACAAAAAACCGATTTGCAGCTACAAAGCTGAATTGCTCGGTTTACATCATCTAAAAATACAGTTTATAAAATTATACACTAAGACTTATTATAGGTATTAAAAGATGCTACACTACTTGGTATATAGCTATTTTTAAAACGATTGGCCAAATGTACGTAAAATTGTCGTTATTTCTAAGATTATTAATACGTTTGTCAGGGAGAAGATAGCGCAATTTATGAGTTGGTTTAGTCATTTTCTTAAAGTGCGAATAAATGATCAGAAAGCTCTACGTGTAGTTTGTCTAGATGGCTCATCTGTCTGTGTGTATAAATACAGCATTAGACGGACCATAAGAAACAATATCAGGCATAATCCCTGAACCAATGCCAGTATAGATCACGCTATTCTAGCTAGTTCATCTGGATAGTTTGTCTTGGGTTTACACTAAGATAGATAGGTGTTTTTAATTGATAAACCTTGCAGCCATAGGCTGAATTAGGTCCAATTACTGTAGTTATATTACATCAATATTACAAATTACATAAAATCAACTGAGACTGATGATTCGCGAAACAGACGATGCGTTCTGACAGATTACTTATGCCATTAATAATAAAGACTAACGAATATTTCCAAATTCTATCTAGCAACCAGAGTTAGAGAACATGCCTGATGAAACACCACAAGTTGATGAAACAGTTCTAGCCGACGAAGTGTTGGATCAAGATGATAGTCCGACAGAGATTACTGAAGAAATTGAGAAATCTTTATTAAAGAAAGACAAGCCATGTTTATCTGATGAAGAAGATGGGAATATACCACAAGAGGAAATAGAAAAGGCAATTGAGAATGAAGGAACACCTCACGAGAAACCGGAGGAAATTGCTGAAAACATTTCAAAATATGTGGACGAACTTGTAGCAACAGTCTTGCCTGAACCTGCCCGCGAAGAGCCTCTAGAAGCTATAGTGCCTGATGAGGAACCTGAAAAATCAGGCGGTGAGGATGTTCCAGATGTCCAGGTGATCCCGATTGAGCATTTGAGTAAAGATGATGACGTCAGTGATGGTGACGTCAGTGATGGTGACATCAGAGAATATGACGTCATAGATAAAGATGATGTCAGCGAAAAGTCTGATGATGTCTTACCTAAAGATGAAGTCAGTGATAAAGATGATGATGACGTCATTAGTAAGCGGAGGGATTTCCCGGGGGGAGTGACTACGGAGGAAGAGAGTACAGTCGAAACAGTGACAGTTGAGAAAACGCATTCTGAGGTGACAGTGATCACCACCACCAGATACCCTACATCACCCCAAGATACCCCGCCTATGACCAGCGAGTTCTCCAAAGATCCTAAAGCATCCTCTAGTGATGATGAAGATGATTATGTCATCATTATTCCGAGTGATGTCACAAAGCCAGAAGAAATTGTGAAGCCTTGTGAAGTTGAAACAGTTGAAGGAATTCCAGATAATCAGCCGACATACGATGAACAACCGACGACAAACGACGAACAGCCGACAACACACGAGGATAAGTGCATCCCTCTTCTCATCATAACAGAAGAACCTAAACGTCAACCGACCTCAGATTCCGACACGTCCGACTCCGAGTCGTCTACGACAGAATCCGACGATGAGAGAACTGACAGTGACATAAAAAAAGTCGTGTCGACAGAAATAATGGCGGAAGCGCCAAATCAACCCACCGAAACAATTTTTGGAATCGTAGACATAAATTATGAGAAACCTCAAAGTGAAGAAATTGCCATACTTGATACGACTGTCGAGTCTTTTGTGGAAATACGAGAAATTCCTGAAATTCCAAGAAAAACATCAACTGACGATGACTCAGAAAAAGATGTGCTTATCGTAGTGCTTCCCGAAAATGTCCCGACTAACGAGGATGGTCCGACACACGACGACGTTCCGACAGTGTCCGACGAAACACCTAAGGAAGACATCGCCCTTCTGGAACTAGACATCGCCGTCGTCCCTGACGACGAGGAATCGACGACATCTTCCGATGAAGAGCCAACAAGCGAGGATAAACGGGTACCTAGAGGGACTTCTGAGACAACTGTGGAAACTTTAATCATAGAGAAAACAAGTACACAATTGTCCACAACAATCACCAGGTTCACCCCGACATCAGACGACTCGCAGGATTCTGAAAGCGATGCTGAAGTGCCTGTTACGATCGTCCCCGAAGATGATTCGACATCCGAAGCTCTTCCAAAACCTCAAGGTATTACTCTTTCAAATTCTTTATACACAGTAATCCCGCAGTCAACCACCAAAGGGTGAAAAATATGCAATGTTCTTCTGCTTGGAGGCAAATCAATAGGATCGAAAGATGTAGTTTAATTTTCTTGCTCAAAATGTCACCATTTCTGAAGTTACCACCATCTGCTGTCCTGTAAAGCTGACTAGTACCCAGCAATGGGTGATTTTAGCTATAGACTAAATTTTGATCAAGGCATGAAGAACGAAATCCAACACCACAGCTAGAAAGAGCGTCTTAGAATGAGTAAAACTGCAAAGATTGGTTGCTAAATGTTGTAAAGTGAAGAAAATATAGCCCTGTGAGGTTCGCAAATTTTGTATATGTTTGTATTACGCGCGGTAAAAATAACCACTTTCGACTCAAAAATGGTTATTTTTCCCGCGCGTAATGCAAATATATACAAATTGTGCGAACTTCACAGGGCTATATTTTCCTCATTTTACAACAATTCGCAACCAAACTTTGCAATTTTACTCATTTTAAGATGCTCTTTCCAGCTATGGTAATGGATTTCGTTCTTCTTGCCTTGATCAAAATTTCTTCTATATAGCTGGAATCATCCATTTTAAGTTTCAGTTTCACTCACGATCATTTTCCGTTTTCAGATGAATCCCCAGAAGACAAGGAGAGAGATATTGTCGTCGTGCCTGCTGACGATGAGTCTACGACATCTTCCGACAGTGAGTCGACGTCCGACAAAGACACGGAAGCTGACCATCTTCCAGAAGAACAGGAAAGCCCAGATAAAAATATCGCTGTCGTACCAGCTGACGATGAGTCGTGGACATCTTCCGACAAAGACTCGACATCCGACGAGGAGGAAGAACGAGAAGAGATCTCTACGGTTGAGACGATCGTTGTAGAGAAAACACATTCCCAAGTATCCACAACTATCACAGAAATCACCACCAATGCTCCTAATTATCCCACTAACGATCCTAATTATCCCACTAATGTTCCGAACTACCCTGTGGAGGACGTCCCCAGCACCGAAGACATCCCGAAGACAGAATATACACCATCTTTTACTGAATATCCAATAGCCGACGATCTCCCGACGGACGAAAATCTCCCGAAAACCGAGATCCCGGTTTATGAAACTGCTCCGACTTCAGACGCATGTGAGGGTTTAGTTTACGAGATTTCCCCGGCAGGGAAAACCGAGGATGGACTAGTACCTAGCGATGACAGCGATATTCAAACCAATGAACGTGAATCTCAAACTGAAAATCGTCATGTACTCAGCGAGACGACACAAACGGACGATACGAGGAAGACTAGAGATGCTTCATGCATGACTCCAACAAGGTATATACAAATATATCTAGATGTTTTAATACTAAGCCGTGTTTACACTACGAGCCTAAGCCTGGCCTGGGCCTACCTTTGGACTAGATTTTTGTAGTATAAACGCACTTCGGCCTGTCCTAGGTCAAGAAACCTGGAACACCTGTTCTGATAGGCCCAGATTTCTTGACCTAGGCCAGGCCGAAGTACGTTTACACTACAAAAATCTAGTCCAAAGGTAGGCCTAGGCCAGGCTTAGGCTCGTAGTGTAAACACGACTCTAGAGTGAGTCAGGCTGGCACCATACGACCCTGGAAAACTGGAGGAAAAACTCTCAGAGCACAAAATAGAACCAAACCACAGGGAAATCATCCAATCTAAAGCCGGGTTTACACTATCAAAGTTTCTGTGATCACAGTAGGAATTTTGCATGGGTAAATTCTAAGTTTTAAAGGATTTGTAAGAAATGTTTGAGGAAACTGACTTAGTGTTAAACAGTAATTCAATTCCCTCAAACAATTCTTACAAATCCTTCAAAACTTAGAATTTACCTACGCAGAAATACAGTGTGCAGTAAACCAGGCTCAAATAATGCCTAACCCTCGACCTACAGTAGCAGGCCTACCTTTCAAATCGTTTCTTAGCTAATTGTTTTCCTCTTCCAGACTGTAGAAGTACGCTTTTCAAAGCATTTTGTATTTTTCCAGGTTGTCAAATGACTCGGAAATTCAAACGGAAATTGAACAAGGCAGTGCTTCGACACAAACCAACCACGAGGAAGATTCCCAATGGTATAAATACACCCGAACTGTCGAAGAACTACGAGAATCTTCCGAGACAGTTACGAACATGAACCGACAGTTATCCGATAATGAAACCCAGACTGATACTCCAGTCGACGATGATTTACGAGTGTTGGTGGCGACCCACGAAGGTGAATGAAACCCACTGATTTAAACACTAGGACTTGAGCATCTTTTGTAATTCAATGAGCCAATTATCAAGTCAGAATATTTATAATGAGAAGAGATTTCAAACGGTCAACTTGTTTACAAATGGACCATTAGGTGTTTGAATTAACTTTACTGCCAAGCAAATTCTTACGTTGTGTAAATTGAAAGATATACGCCTGTATTCTAAAAGCTCACTCACACTCAATGAGTGGAGGTTCAATCTGAGCTTCTCTTGAGTGTCAATGCTGTTTTTGAATAACTGGAGGGTGAGTAGTCACATAGTAAGGTACGAGACTAACCCTCCAGCTATTCAAAAACAGCACAAACACTCAAGGGAAGCTCAGATTGAACCTCCACTCTTTGAGTGTGAGTGAGCTTTTAGAATACAGGTGATAGCTTCTCACATCTTTTCTAATTGTTAATTAGAACTTAGTTAAACTATAGATAATGAAACTTGAGGCGATCATATTGGCGTGTCCTCATTAGTTATTCACTGTGAGGTTAGAGTTAGAGTCACTGTAAATAAGGCCAGTGGTGGCCATTTTTTATCAGGACAATATGGTTTCTTTCCTCAACCAATAACCAGAACCTTCTCTATAATCATTACACTGTACTGAAGTTCTCAACAAAATATTTAGGTACCCAGACAGAGTTGGAAGAAGATTTCAGTGAAAGTGAAGTGACAAGGATCACTCGAAAAACAACGACGGAAACTCGATCTGAAAGCAGTTATAAAGAAGAAACACGCCTTTCCAGAGATGATATTAAAAATGACTGTCCTGTATGTTTGCAAAGTTTAGAAGCAACTAACTATAGTTTTATAAAAGTCAAAGATCTTTCACGGTTTGTCACGATGGAAGAGAAATATACTCAGTATGAAATAGAGGAGACTAGTGAAACGACTCACTTGGCTTGTTTCGCTTGTGGCAGACACGGGACAACAGGGGAAGCTAGTGGGTATTCCCGTACAATGAGGGAAGAATATGATGAAAGAGGGTCTAGAAGGGGTGATCAGGGTACATCGATGGATATAACTGATGGATATTCTAATAGAGCTAGGGGCGATTTGGGATATGAAGGATCTCGAAGTGGGGAAGGTAATGAATTTTCAAATACAACGATGTACGAAGCGGGACAGGAAGTGTCTACACGGGAAGGTCATGGATTTTCGAGTACAACGAGAGAACAATGGAGTTATGAAAGGTCAACACGGGAAACTAGTGAGTATTCGAGCACAAGCCAAGAATGGGAACAAGAGCTTGTCATTGAATCCGAGAGCTCGCCGGAGGTACCCGAGGATGCTCATTTCTCGATACGTATAGATGGCGATGAGAAATGCCTTCTGTATTGTCGTCGTTCCGGCAAGCATACATGCGCATTGCAGAAGTTAGCGTCGATCATTGAAGCCCATAGAAAGGCGGCTACATCAAGTAACCAAGGAGCGCAGGCTCATTCATCTGACCAGAATTCAGAAATTGTCGAAAATGTGGAAACGGTTGAACATTTGGAAGAAGCCAATGAGGAGAGTGGAGACGACACGGAGGCTGGCACTAGCGATGTGATTGGTCCACAGCGTTGTGACGTCAGTGTTCAAACAGATGGCGCGCTACTTCCGGCTGATTTTGAAGTGTTCAGTGATAAAGATTTCGAGATATACTACGACGAACAGAAGTCTCCGTGCTGGTTTGTATAGCCATGTTGTATAGACATTTATTCACCATTGGGTAATATTATAATATATAACATTCCTAACCATCATAGTATCATAAACTTACATAGAGTAAAAGGTTATATTGATCAGTAAGCGTTACAGGTCAGCAGATGGTGCTCAACTACAGACATTTATAGAAACTTAAACTGTATCTTTGAAATTCTTTGTATTTGCCCATCAATAGAAACATGATTTTCTCACTCTGATAACTGCAGGTTGACCAACATCTGCTGTACGATAGTGCTTAGTGAAACCATAGACAATCCAGAAGACAGTCTTCTGGATTGTCTATGGTGAAACCTACTAATAAGTCTGGTTTGCACTCTCGAAGTTTCTGTGATCACTGTAGAAATATTGCATTGGTAAATTCTAAGTTTTGAAAGATTCGTACGAAATATTTGAAGAAACTGATTCAGTTTAACACCAAGTCAGTTTCCTTCAAACATTTCTTACAAATCCTTCTAAACTTAGAATTTACCCATGTAAAATTCCTACTGTGATCACAGAAACTTTGATAGTGTAAACTGGCCTATAATAAACTAATACTTGGCAGAAAATCCTATGAACAGTAATCAATGTCTCCTGACTTCAGTAACGTCATGTGATTTTTAGAAATGAACTGTAATCTGATTAACATTTGATGTACTAATTACTAATCATTAATGATGAATTAATTAATTAATATAAATCATATTACTTTTTTCACTTTCATATTTGCACTGTAATAAGATTTTCATAGATATAATACTTGGATATTTAATTCTACACTTTCTGTGCGTGCAACATAAAGGCAGAATAGAATATATATGCACAAGGCAGTGTAATCCTATAGATTGTATAGAGATATAGTTTTTGATATATAAGTTGTTTAATAATATAAGGGGTTTCATTGTATACAATTGTTGGTTATTAAATATATCGAAATGAATATTCATGTTAGTGTTTTTTCTTTCCAAAATAAGAGTTTCAAAATATCTCTGAAATTTGATAATGCTACAATCGCTTCTTCACATCGACTTTGCTTGTACAAAGTTTTTCAAGAAAGAAATCCGCAGCATCTCTGTGCAAGTCTCCGCAATCCGCACATACGCGATATTATCGATAATAAGGTCACGCAGGGTTAACAGCATGAGAGAAAGTTGTTGACATATACGAATAATGGTTTCAATGTGTGTCTTATATCAAGCTATCAGAAATATTTGCTTTTGAATTCTGTCTAATGAACGAACAAAGCGTATACTAACCAAAGATCATATCCATGTGTGTCTACGTCTATGTGTGTTTGAGAAAAAGCTTTTCTTTAATCGTAATCTACACAAAACTAATATTTTAATCCGCTTTAAATAATTCTATTTATATGCAAGTTAAATATTTGGCTCGTGTCATACTGAGTTGAAAAATGCCAGACAATATTGATTCTAGAATTGATTCTAAAAGACTATCATTTCTTGACAATATCTCGTGAGAGTCTGGTGTTGGTAGTACTTTACAATAGCAGAAATCTTTGGCAGCAGGTTTAATATTAATGGCCCAGATTGATTCAAGATCTGAATTAGAATAAGACAATCTCCCGAGAAGGGCCTTCGCTCGAATGAGATTCTTTTACTTATATGCTCAGCTGGTTCACAGACAGAACACGACAGCTTTCCCGTATTCAAGTATTTTTAATCGAGTCTGCGTGCCTGTATACAACGCAACCCAAGATTCGAGAGCTTTTGCGACTGAACTTACTAACAAAATAACTCCCTACCCACCCACCCGACCCTTGTTCTAACATTGACAGTAATACTATACACTAATGATCTAACAGATGTCACTGACCCTCCCGACCCTTGTTACTATACATCGTACTATATATTAAAGTATATTCTATATTTCTATATTTCCAGGACAGCGATGACAATAGCTCAGGGAATGCAGAAAGAACACGAGAGTCTCATGAAACAACTGGATATGTTAAGGTCAGCACAAATTGAGAAAGTTTTGAGAAATTGGAAAAATATGCGGATTGAATATGATATTTTCCGAAGGAGGGGAAGCCACGGGAAATCTCATTATGTTATTGAAACATGACACGCGAAATATTGTCACACCTTCTATAATCTAAAGCACCAAGTGATTTGAAAGCAATTTTTCATTTTTCATCAGCAACCTTTTCCTTTTTGAGTGACTTTCTAAGCAACTTCGAGGCTTTTTGGAGCAACTTACTAGCACAATCTGTAGAGTTAAGAAGAACTAAATGCTATATTCCCTGATCGTAATTGCCTTTAAAAGCCTTCTGGGATGTGCGGAGCCTGAGTCTCAGGTCGATCAATCTAATTAACCATACTAGGAATTCCTTGAAAGCAGCTGCAATCTATTGGGCTTATCGAAAGAACGAGGAAAACACTTTTGTCGGATTTATAAGGCGTTTAACCCTAGGATATAGTTTGATGATTGCCGATTGAATATTCCTACGTAGGTAATATTTCTGAACAAAATCTCCAAAACTCACCACTTTTTCTGCTGGCTTTGATGCTTTCCAATCAATGGTAACAAGAATATTCATTTCTGTAATCGTAAAAAGATCCAATGAATACAAAGTGTTATTCAAACATTCAACATTCTGGCTGACGCATTTTCATAATTGCAGTTGCGCGCATTCCCTGATTGCGACCATTTGCGCGCGCGTCTGTTGCGCACGCTTGAGCAAGGGATTGTTACGCAGCCTCGGTTGACTAAATATTTATAACATTCTTCACCTAGGGAGGTGAATCAAAAGTTGAGAGATCAAAAAGACGCAATCCAAGCTGCTCACGAAGCTGTAAGTATACTAACACAAATTTTTTCAAAACATCACCGACGTAAATTGTTCAAACCAAGACTGCAAATTAACCATGCTGTGTT